CCTTTCAGTTCCGTTGTGCAAATCGACTCATTAATACCTCTCAGCTGACTAAGTTATATTACTTTCAGGTTCTCCTCTAAAATCTGGCCATCTTTGTCCAGAATCTAATCTGCTGCGAAAATTCGATTCAAACTGCGTTCTCTGACCTCCTGCATTCGCGGTGAATCCACTTCCACGCACAAAAAGCGGACGAGCAAAAGCAGTGATGAGGAAGTGAAATGCATGTCATCATCGTCGTCTTCTCCAGTGCCTGGCATTCTCTCCACTGATTCAGTGCGCCAGGAGCATCAGCAGCAACAACAACAACAGCAGCAGCAGCAGCAACAACAACAACAACAACAACAACAACAACAGCAGCAACAACAACAACAGCAACACTGTCCAATGCCACACTCGATTCTCAAAGACGGCGTGTCCAAACAACTCGTAAGCTCTTTTTTATGTTTATTAGCATGAATGAAGTGCGTACGGTGGAGAGGTCATTTCTGTTCATATGTATCGCGTGCGTCTGAATATGTATTGCCCGAAAACGTTCTAAGGCCTTAAATGATCCTGTGAATAAATACAAAACTGATATTAGACTTCAGAGTTTTCTGTGTTCTTATGAATTTTAATCTCAAGTTTTTAAAAAAATTAGCTAATTTCGTAAGCAGACTACAACCCCAAAGGATCCATACCCCAACTAAACCACAATAAATTTTTAAACTTCACTATGTCAACTTCTGTGATTTCAAGTCCCAGTTCAAATCAATTATTTTCACACTATCAAAAAGCTATGAACTCGAAAATTTGAAATTTCTGTTAACAACTTATGACGAACAGCTTAGAATGGGCTTTTAAAATTCTCCGTATTTTTCCATGTTCTGACTATTTTAAAGTTTAAAATGAGAGAAGCTGCTTTGAAGCCATATTGTGTTCCTACCACTGTCGCGGATATTAATGTTTAACAACGATAGTGGAGTAAGAACTATCATCCAGTTCTAAATTTTATTCGTTTTTATGCGTTTTTGCTGTGCTATAGCGCTGCTACAGCCAGCAAAAACGCATATTGTCGAGAAGCTGTCTGTGTGTGTGTGTGTGTGTGTGTTCGGAAAGCGAGTGCATTTTGTCACCCACTTTCAACTCGGCAACCAGAAAAGCTGAGGGGCTGAAACTTCGGATATATGTTCCTACCCCGTGTGTCATCCTCCCGTTTTAAGAT